TGAGGACATATGCTTCTTTTTCTTCTTTTTAAATGTTGTAAGATTTATTTATTTATTTGAAAGACAGAGTTACAGAGAGAGGAAGCAGGGAGAGAGATCGATCTTCCATTTACTGGTTCACATCCAAATGGCTGCGTCAGCCAGTCTGTGGGGGTGGGGGCAGGCTGAAGCCAGGAGCCAGGGACTCCATCTGGGTCTCCCATGTGGGTGCAGGGGCCCAAGCACCCAATCCTCCGTTGCCTTCACACTAGCAGGGAGGTGGATCAAAAGTGGAGTGGAGCAGCTGGGACTTGACCTGGCACTCTTATATGGAATGTCAGCTCCACAGGTGGTGGCTCAACACGCTGCCCTACAACACTGGTTCTGGGGATGGAGTTCTATAATAAGCAAAGAGGGGAGAACCACACCGTGAGAACTGCAGGCATCGGCACAGCTCTGGCAGGCTCACCTGGTTTCAAGTGAACTCTACTGGAACACAGCCATGCCCCGTCATTCACGTTTTGCCAGCGGCTGCTTTCACGCTACAACAGCAAAGCTGAAGTGGTCTGCAGACCCTGTGGTTTGCAAAGCCGAAACACTTACTATCTGGTCTTTTACAGGAAAAGTGTGCTGCTCCCTGCAGAGGAAGTCGTGGTCCCAGGCTGGCAACGACACCTCAGGACTTGAAGGTTTCTGCAGGAAAGGGCCGTGCCTCCGAGATCTGTCCCGGCTTGCGCTTGAAGCCTAAGGCTGACTTGCGTGGGGTAAAGGACCTCATTCGGACGCCATTTGGACTCCAAAGCTCTAGGGGCCAAGTGCAAAAGAAGCGCAGTTTGTGGATGCTGCAGTGCTCTGTGTCTGGATGGATCAGCACTGTGTGATGGCAAAGTGCAGCCTCCACACCCAGGGACACCTTCGCTGCGGCGTGGGCACTTCTGAGCCTCCCCATAAACAGTGTTTGTTCTGAGACTATGCCCTGGAGGACAGGTGGAGAGGACCTCACCTATCCCAGCAGGCACAGCTCTTCCCCGCTGCAGAGAGTTTAGGACACTCTGTGCCCTATCTAGTCTATGGTCCCCTGAGGGAGAAAGACAGAGGAGCTGGAGCTAAACAAGACACAGGCATCGTCATCACGACTGGGCTCTGGGTTCCGGGAAATGCTGAAGAATGTGGACAGAGAGAAAATTGTGAGTCATCATTAATGCAGTGTTAGGTTCTGGGTCCCTGCTTTGTTTAATTAAACTAAGTCTGCTGGGAATTGGTTCCCAAATGCTCATTAGCGGGTGCGTAGCCTCAGAATCATCTGAACATCTCTTTAAAAAATGCATGTGCTGGGGCAGGCATTTGACCTAGCAGCTAAACTGCCACTTGGGACACCCGCCTCCCATATAAGGGTGCCTGGGTTCAATTCCCAGCTCCAGCTCACCATTCCAGCTTCCTTCTAATATGCACCCTGGGAGGCAGCAGGTGATGGCTTAAGTTGTGTCTGTGCCACCCATGTGGGAGATCTGGAAGCAATTCCTGGCTCCTGGTTTTGGTCTGGCGAAGTCCTGGGTGTTGCAGCATATGGGGAGTTAGCCAGAGGATGAGAGCTAATGCTCTGTTTCTCTGCCTCTCAAATAAACTAAGTAATATATATATATATGTATATGTCAAATATGTGCCTGTAAATCTTCCCCCAGGAAGTTGGGCTTTCTGAAGTCCTGGGGTGAATTCCTGCTTTAAAGAACCCCCGCCCCCCTCCACCACTGAAATGATTGTGACTCACAGCCAGTGTATGGCTACAAAGGGAACCTCATATCCATTTCTCAGCATTTCAATGAATGCAAAGTAGTGCTAGATCCATATGCCCCCCCCCCCCCCTTTCTCAGCAGGGCTGCCAATGCACCTTTAATCCCAAAGGAAGTCTTGAAACCTACGTGCCACTGGGGTGCTGATCTCCTGTGACGGACATGTGACTTCAGGTTCCAACTTTCCAACTTCCAACTTTCCTACCGTATATGAGCCCAGGGAATCTGTTCCCCACCAACGGCTTGATTTCCTTTAAAGAGCAACATTGGTCAAATACGGGTTGAAACCCATCTGCAGGTTATGCAATCCATTGTAGAGGATGCAACCAGCAGTCAACAAAACAGATGAGAAAAACGTGTGTGCAGAAGCATACTGCTGTCAAAGTTGCGTTGGGGGTACAGTGTGCATGGGTGGGAACGTTGTGTGTTGGGTCGCTGTGTATTTGCTACTATGCATCAAGGTGAAATGTTTGTAGTCTCTTCTGGGCAGCATAAATCAACACTGAGCCTCGGTTACTCACGGCAGCTCTTACTTCTGCTTACGGAGGACTGATGGAAGGAGCCAGCAGAGAGGTTACAAGCACTTCAGGGGGCTACCTAGAAACCTATAGAAAACCAATTTGTGGACAATTACAGAGCATGGGGAGAAAAATCGATCCCAGCAGTGTTGGGTGTGGCAGCTGACTCAGTCCACCATGCTGGGCTCAGGGGACCCCCTGGGTTTACTTGGAGCCAACTCTCACTTTTCCTTTCCTTAAAATGGGGATAATTGCCCCCTTGACTATTGGTGTTATGGGAAAGTCCAAAGGAGAGAAAATAAGATCTGTCCAGTTAAGGATGAACCACAAAGTGCAGGCCTAGGAGTGGCCTTTAGTGGTGGTTCGGTAGGTGTGTGTTCCTTGGCAACAGGGGAGAAAGAGAAGGCTGCAGTGTGGGAGTCGGAAAGGATGTGCACAGGCCAGGGAACCAGAAAGCAAGGGGCCTTTCTTCTTCTGCCGCTTGGCAGGCAGCTGGGCTCCTGGGCCCCAGACGGAGCTGTGGGGGCTGATGTCCCAGCACATGGGTCTGAATGGGCCACCTTGAAGCATACAGTCAGACATCGCCCATGGGATGAGGGGACCAGCTCTCAGTGGGCAAGGAAGGCAGAGGGGGAGGAGGGGCGCTTTTGGAGGGGAACTCAGAAGGTGAGAGAAGAGAAAGGCTCCAAGAACATTCCCGAAGGGTCTGGAGTGAGACTCTAGGGCATGAGACAGCCCCTCCCCCGAATTCCAAGTGTGTTCCTTATAACCAAGCCCCTTCTGCCACTTGGCATTTGAAAGCTTTCACAAGGTTCAGGAAGGAAAGAACACTGCTAACGCAAAGATGGAGTTACAATGAAAACGTAAGGGCCTGCGTCTAGGTGCCTGGGACCTGCTTACTCTTGTCAGTGAGCTCTGCGGCTGACTCTGTCACTCCCTTTGATGCTGCCAGGCTTCTCAAGGCTGAAGAGGAGGGCTTCGCCCAGCAGCCTGGAGCCTCTGGCCAAGCTGCTGGCTAACCACACAGAGTGCTTTGGGCTCCCGCTGCGTCCAGGGAATCTGGACAAGCTTCCTGGTTACCCAGAGGTCTGCGACAGCTGCTCTCTGCTAAGCTCCAGGAGATAATGATGAGCAGATAATGGCTAATCAGGCCCTCACACACACTGTGGGCGCCTTTTCTGGACTCGACAAAACACAAAACAAGGAGAAAATATGTAAAAGAAAACAAAGCAAAAAAGAATGAAACGTGTGGCAAGCCCAAGGTCCCTGTAGCAAAGACAGCGATGGCCTGGCAGGGGACCTATGGGGTGAATGTAGCTCTGCTTGGCAAGGGTCAGACCCCCTGCCCCTTTACCCACTGCACCACCGAGTCCCTCCGCCCAACCTCAACTCCCCTGGAGCTACTCTGCTGTTTTCCTCACTTGATTTGTCTCACTGTAGCCCACACTTGGCATAGGGTGGAACGAAGACATTTATTTGTAAAACCAACTCCCTATGGAGGAGAGCTCGTATCCATAGAAAGTAAACCAGTGCACATTTCGGGGGGCCACATGCAGACATCAGTGAGAGCCGGGCAAAGCCGGACGACATCATTACCGGATGCCCTCTCTGCCACCACCCCCAGCCACCAGAAAAGCAAAATGTCCTTTCCATTTGAGCACACGGATGCCCCCCGGTGTCCCGTGAGCAGGCAGTTTGGTCTGACATCCACGATGAAGCGATCGGGGAACAATCGAGAGAGCCGTTTTCCTAGGTCTGCTTCCCATGGACGCCCAGCTGCACGCTCCCGTGGTCCTCCGCCTGCCAGCCGGAGCGAGGCAGAGTCAAAGCCCTGGGCCTCCTCACATGCCCATCCTTATGCTCTGGATGATCTGAAAGATAGCTGCAAGAGGAAAGCAAAACAGACGGCTCAGACAGCAGACAGCACGCAGCTGGAAGCCCAGCCCTCAGCCAGCCCAGCTGCTGCTGACCCCTGGGCCCTGGACGTGCTGGCTCACGGCTGATTAGATATTTCCTAACAAGGAGTTAAGTTAACAAGGGGTCACTGAACTTCTTTAAAGAGACAGCCTGGCTCTGTCTGCGGATGGATGCCGCAGGGATTCATAGATAACTCCTGCTAATTCCACCAGGAGTGAAGGCCAGAAATCCCTTAGGCACTGAGAGGAGCCTTGGCCCCCTTTCCCCAGCAACACTGTGTGGCTGCTGGGTAGAAGGATCTGGGCTGTCATGCAGAAACCGCACTCATTAAACAGGTCAGTGAATCTGCCTTTTCAGAGTAGCCGTGACCTGTAAACCAATCGGGCCAGGTGCTCAGAGCAGACGCTCCGAGTCAGGGTCTGGCTGCCCATAACCCTGCCCGCACGTGTGGCTTCCAGTGATCTACTCAGGGCTCAGGCTCTACTAGCTGGCCTGGTTATTGCAAGGAATAGCCTGACACCCACAGACAGCTCCTGGGAGCCCCCGTTATTTTGTTGGTTAGAAAGCTCCCAGCCTGTATCTAGCTACAGAGTTCCAAATGTGTGCCAGTGCAGGAGAGTCCCAAATGCTTTTTATATCTTCCCCAGGGAGTTGGGGTGGTCAGCGATGATGACAATGGTAAGGAGAAGAGCAGCTACCAGGTACTGAAGGGTGGCTTTGGTCTTTAGGTTTTTGTTTTTTTTTTTAATTTTTTTTTTTTTAGCATTTTTGGGTTATCATCTGATTTAATCATGTGTAAAAACAAGAAGAAACCCCTTCTCTCCTTCATAAAGCCATCCTGGAGTATCTCCAGGAACACAACCTCCTCAGTGCTCACAGTCATCTCAGGAAACAAGTCTTCTGACATTTCAGCAGCCATTGGTATTGAGCTGATACATGACGCAGGCACAGCAGCCCTTACCCAACATGCTTTGCAGCCACAAGTGTTCTGGACTTCACATTCCAGAATATTTGAATACATATACATAATGAGATATTTGGAGGCTAGGACACAAGTCTAAAATAGGAAACTCATTTATGATATATCTACGCCTTCTACAGATCACTTGAAGGTGACTGTATGATATTTTAAATTAAGTCTGTGCATGACACAACGTTTCATGGTGTAGACTTCCCCACTCTGGCACATCTTTCTTCACCAAGTTTTGGAGTTTAGAGCAGTTCTGATTTCCCAAAGAGGAAGGCTCAACCTGTACTCTGTGCCAGGTATTATACTTTAGGGATACAAAGAGAAATCACAGAGTGGTTCCCTTGAGAGTCTTTCTCGGGTAGCTGGAGCTTAAGGACAATGGACTAAGGCATTTTCTTAGTTTCTCTCCTTTTTTCTAAAAATAAGCTGTACATGCTGTCACTACGTTATTAACCTGGAGATGTGAAACACGATATGGGTGTTAGGTTTTCTTGAGTACTCAGGGTCACCCTCATGAACAACAGTCATCAGGGAGATTCTCCTGTGATACTTTTGAGGACGATACACAGTGTTTGGCACCCAATGCGTTCTGCTTGGCTGTACTTTGGGGCTCTCATTCCTGCTCATCTTTTTTACTTTTTCTCCTTGTCTCATTCCTGGTCACATCTCTGGTGTTGCTACACTGATCTGCAGTAAGCCCCTTTTTATTGCTTTTGTAGCTGTGCACTAAACTGAAGACAAAGCCTGCTAGAATGGTGTGTGACATCAGAGTCCACCCGTGCCATGGGAATTCTGACACAGAGAAGGAGTTATTACTTCCACGACTTGTGAAATTTCCTTTTGGCTGTGCTGAAGGGAGTTCTTGGATAATTTGGGGTTCCTGGGCAGGCCTTGACAAGGAAAGTTGCTAAATGGATGGAAAAACACCCTACCAAAATGTATAAGCTCAAAGGAGTAACTGATGCTTCTATCCTCCTCTACCGAGGAGGATGAGAGGTAAGAATTAAACGTACATTTTGTGTTCCAGTTCAGTAGGAACGCCAGGAGGCAGCTGTATATTCAACATCATTAGGACAAAAATGTTGACATCTACCATGTCTCAGACTCTGTTCTTGGGATCAGGGACCATCTGTAATCATCACAAACGAGTTGAGAGCAGAAAGTTAGGGTCAGGTGGGACTGAGTTGAATCACAGCCACTGAACAGCTGTTGGACTGGCCAAATAAGCTAACCTCTTTGAGGTGGTTTTGTCTTCTGTAGGTGAGGACCATGGTATCTGAAGGGTTACCATAGGCATTGAATGACAGGATGTAATCATGCCTTGAGGATGCAATGCATGGTAGCAAGTATTGCTGTCATTACTACAGGCAGAGTACTCCTTGTCCAAAATGTTTGGGACCAGAAGTGCTTCAGATTTCAGACTTTTTTTGTGATTTTGGAATATTTGTGTATACATACTGAGATGTCTTAGGGATGGGGCCCGAGTCTAAACACAAAATCATTTATGTGTCATATATACCTGATGCACGTAGCCTGAAAATACAATATTTTGAGTGCACTTGTGTTTTGACTGTGACCTGTCACGTGAGGTCAGGTGTGGAACATATAATTGTGGCATCCTGTGGGCACACAAAACGCTTTTGGAGCATTTTGGGTTTTGGATTTTCAGATGAGAGGCTATCGGTCTGTGTTTCTGTTAGTATCACAGCGCCTACTGCTTTGTTATGTCTGAACGTGAAGATCAGCCCTTTGCTAGCATCTGCTCTTTGTAATGGGGACTTTGGAAAGACACTGCACAGTTCAGAGCTTGCTCTCTATTTGCAAAATTGCATATGGCAAACACCTTTGAGGACTGCGAAGAATAAGCATGGTGGTGATGTACATAAGAGCTCAGTTTATAATGAATGTTCAAGACTGTTACTTCTGTCTTCATCTTATCCCTGGAGAAGAGCATGTGAACAGATGTGACTTAGTGAATAAGAAAGTCTGTGTCTTGGTCCATCATATCAATGAATGTGTTCAACGTTCTAGGTCATGATAAAAGCACTCAATTCTTTTTAAAGAACTGCAAATTTCTTTAACGACGCTCAGAGAAAATATGCATGTCTCAGAGTAGCAACACCCACAGTAAAACAACTTACCTAGTTTGTTTGAGTCTGTTTTAGTAACTAATTAAAGGTCATTCCTGATCTTAATTGAATCCATGAATTAATATGTAAAACTCCGATAGTCCTTATATGTTTAAAGATGATTCTTTAAAACTGAACACCGTTGGAGAAATGTCTCTGAATAAAGCCTCTTTTAAGTTCACCATTTACTTCTCCATCTAAGATAACCGAGATCTGGTTGTGTTTAAGACTTCCTTGTCAGTTGTATCAACGTCTTTAAGCAGCTGTCCATGTTCTACACCAAGCATATTCATTGTAACTCTGTGAGTCTGCCCACACTGACCTGCAGAATAACCCTGGGCCTTCCAAATGCTGACTTTCAGAGGCGACGAACAGGAAGGGGCTAACAATTGAGTTCAAAGAGGGAAAGGAAGCAGGGAGTCTAGAGCCTGACAAGTTAATAACTTAACAGTGGGTGAACAAAGCTGAGAAAACAGCCCAGCCGGCTGCAGGAGCCGGGCGGAGGGCAGGCGAGACAGCAGGGAGGAGAGATGCCAGAAAAAGGGAGGGCGGCAGGCACGTCAAGTTGAGGATCAGGCCCCGGGCACGCTCCGTGGTTCAGAAAACTCCCAGCCACAGCAGGAGCCACCGCATCAACAAGCCTCCGCACCCTCCCACCCGTGTTTAAGATCCTGGCCTTGGCCGCCTTGGCTGACCACTGCTCTTTCCTCCTCAACCTTCGCCTTTCCACTAAGTCTTGAGGCTGTAGCATGCTAGAGTCACTGCCGTCCCAGAAACAAACATACCAGAACCCTCTGCCTAACTCCACACCTCCTAGCAGCCCCTTCTAAGAGCTGTCTATACGCACTTCCTCCAATTCCTTACCTTCCATTCCCACCTGAAACCACCTATGCTGTGTCTACTGGCTCCACACTGCTGAAATACCTTCAGCTAAAGTCACAAGTGACCTCCTATCACTCCACGCCCGTCCTGCCTCCTCTTGTCTTACTCCCCGCTCAAGAAACCCTCCTTTCCTTTGGCCGCTGAGACACCGGTCTCCTGGTTCCTAGCATTCCTCCTTCTCTTTGGCTCTTCCCTCTCAGCTTGGTTCATGGGATCAGCCTCCGCCACCGCTCCTCCGGGAGCACTGCTGGCTTCCTTCTTTCCACTCCGATCTTTCTCCCGAGGTGGCTGGTCCCGGCCCACAGTTTCAGTGGCCACTCAGCTGTTGATAACGCACAAATGTGCGTCTCTAGCCTGACTTCCTTGAGCTCTGCATGCACACCTTGTGCCATCTAATTGCCACCTATACTCAAGGGGCTCAAAAGCATCTCAAACTCAACAGCACTGTCTCACGATCTCTCCCCACTACCAAAATTGGCATCCTGTCTTCTGTCTTGTATGTAGACCCCAAACAGCAGTCATCCTGGGCATTTTCAGCCGATGACCCAAACTTGTGGATTTACTCTAAGAGCCTTGGGGTTATGCACCCTTCACTCTATCTCCTGGAAACCCCCCAGTCCAAGCTACATTATCCATCCCCCAACCCCTGTGATGATCTCTAACGCATCTAGACTTACTCTTCTTCAACCTTTTCTCCATACTTTAGCTACAATGACCCTTTAAATAATAGCAAATAATATGGTGTCACCCTGTGTTTAAAGCACACCAAAAGCTTCCTATTGTCCAATCCTTGATGAGGCTTCCATGACCTGCATACTTGGGCCATCTGTCCAGATACTCCCCTCATGGTTTCAAAAGCTTCTGGCTCTTATTACAGGCTTTTGGCACATGCCATTCTTTCTGTGTGGAATATTTCCTCTACCTTACCCTACTGCTTAAGTTATGTCTTCAGAGAAGCTTCTTTGGTCCCCTGGAGCAAGGTTCCCAAAATTGAGCATGCATCACCATCTCCTGGGGACGTGGTAAAACACAGACGCCTGGCCCCACCACCAGCATTGCTAATCCAGGCCTGGGAGGGGACCGAGGATCTAACAAGTCACCTTCCTAACAAGTCAACAGGGATGTTGAGGCTGCTGCTCCAGGGGCCACACTTTCACAACCACTTACCCAAGTGTCAACCAGCTCTTCGCGTAACAAGCCTTCATAGCCCTATGTGCCTCTTCTTCAAATACTTTACTGGCTGAAATTTTCATGGTTCAGCATGACTAGTTGATTAGCTCATCTTTCTTTTCCACTAGATTTCAAGAGAGCAAGGGATCATGTGTGCACAATCTGTCAAGCTAAGTAGATCCATCCATATTGTACTGAATGAATGAAAGACAAATACTTGCAAAGAGCACAGAGAAAGATAAATTTTAAAAATCTCCAATGATTACTTTGCAAACTCAAAGAGTCGGCATCCAATGGCTTTTTTAAGTCCAAGTGTCCCAAGAGTTCAGTCTCCTGAGGAGAAGTCAAATCATGACAGGGCATAAATTCGCAAAGGGCTGAGGATGGGGGCCAGTGCTGTGGCATAGCAAGTAAAGTCGCCACCTGCAGTGCTGGCATCCCTTATGAGTACCAGTTAGAGTCCTGGCTGCTCCTCTTCCGGTCCAGCTCTTTGCTGTGGCCTGGGAAAGCAGTAGAAGATGGCCCAAGTCCTTGGGCCCCTGCACCCATGTGGGAGACCTGGAAGAAGCTCCTGCCTCCTGGCTTTGGATCAGCTTGGCTCCGGTTGTTGCAGGAAATTGGGGAGTGAATCAGCGGATAGAAGACCTCTCTCTCTCTCTCTCTGCCTCTGCCTCTCTCTCTGTGTAACTCTGACTTTAAAATAAATAAATAAATCTTTAAAAAAAAAAAAAAACTGAAGCTGTGGTATCCCAACCAACTCTGACCCTGAGGACTGACCCACCCCAGCTAAGGGGGTGTGCCAAAAGGACACTACGATGACACAAGTGGACCCCACAGGACACTGGGAGCTGGAACACTGCCAGAGAACAGGACGCTGCACAAAGCCAGTTTCATTGAAACCAAATAGTTGACGATAAGAGAGATCCAGGGAGTTTCTGAGAAGCGAGAATAAGACAAGCCAGAGGATCAGCCTCTTCTAGGGGGAGAAGACAGCCCTAGAAATCAAACAACTTTGATTATTTTTCATTAAAAAAAGTGAAAAAGCGAGTCTAAAAGAGAAAACGTGGGCCCCTTGAGAGAGAAGTAGAAATGTTAGGAGACAAGATAGCGCAGAAGTAGATCATTAAGCTCTCTAAAACAATCAGCACCAAGAAGGTCAAAGGCAAGCTGCCACTTTTTTGGTGGTGTTTCTAGGTGGCATCCGGACCTGGAGAAGAGGGGAAAAAGAGAGATGCCCGCGATAGGAGGGGGCAGGCAGGTGTGGTAAAGAGACAGATATTAGTAGCAAAGAAAGCGATGCCTTCTATCCATGTTAAGAAAGCAGAAAGACTCTTCTGAGAAGGAGACCACACAGAACCCCAAATGCTCCAGGAGGCTCAGGGCAGAGGGTGGCGCATTACAAAGGAGGCTGCAGGTCACCTTGAGGGAGCTGGTGGCTGAGGAGCCGACTTCTGCAGACGGTGCATCTCAGATCCCGAGGAAGGAACTCAGCGTAGATGAACGGCCTTGGGCTTTCCTCTGGGGTGGTCTGCTTCTGCAAACATCCCACTGGTCAGCCCCAGGGGAGTGAGTCTCTCCGGGTATTATAGTTTTGAGAACGTTCTGGAAGCTTCCAGGAAAGATCAGTGCTTAGAAGGTCAACCTGCAAACATGGCAAATTCAAGTCCGTCTTGGAACAAGTGTCCAGGAAAGCCTAAGGGAAGGTGGAGGGGGAGGGGGAGCACAGGTGACCCAATGAAGAAGCATCCTGGGCTGGGGCCAGGCTTCCTGCATCGGGGCTCAGACCCGGGATGGAGACCCCCTGGAAAATGTGCCCTTTCTGGAAGGAACCAGGAGCCTTTTCCTAGACATCTGCAGGCCTAAAGCTCGTGGGCGACTTTTGCACCCTAGTCCCTTCAGGGGAATAGTGAGAGAGGGTGCAGGATAATCGCAGGTGGGTTCTTGAGCTGGGTCTGGGTGCCAGTCCTTGCCCTGTTCAGCTAGGGGACGTTGGCTGATTTCCTCCATGAGCTCAGTTTTGTGGCACAGGAGCACAACTGTGACAGCCTGTTTGTAGGGACTGCATGACTAGAAGGCAGAGCACAGTGTAGGGCGTGACATTACAACAAGAAGTTCCCAAGGAAGGGGAGTCCAGACAGCCGTGCGCAGGAATCTTGCTTTCTTCCATGGTGAGCTCACGAAGAGCTCTTTCCAGAAGCAGAGGGGACACCACTGACTCTCTGGCTTGTAGGCACCACCCTCTCCCTGGCAGTGGGTCTCAGTTCACGCGGGATGCTGCATCTCAGAGCTATGCTTCCCCCACTGCAGGTTTTCTCACCAAAGGTCACAAAGGACAGCCACCAGAAAGGTCAGAGTGCTGTCTCCCTTTCCTTGTAAGCGTTCAGAATCTGACTGGGGAGGTCAAGAGGTGGGCAGGCAGCAGAGGGCCACACCCATAATCACAGCAGCAGCAGGAGTTTCTTTTTTTTTTTTTTTTGAATCCTGAAATTTTGCCTCTTTATTATTCAATTCAAAACATGATGCATTTAGAAAAGTGTGTAGTCTTGAAGAAGAGCTCATTCTGTATAAGTGGTTTTGCATCTAGAATTTTAACTTCTATGTCAGTTGGAGAGTACTATGTAAATAGTTTTTAATAAAGATGCATATTTAAAAATTAATTTTTTAGGATGCTATCAACATAATAAAACATTCCCCATCTTTATTTTTAAAAAGTTTCTGTCTTTTTTTTCATTTTCAATTATCTTTATATATAGAAGATCGATTCAGTATATATTAAGTAAAGATTTCATCAGTTTGCACCCACACAGAAACACAAAGTATAAAAATACTGTTTCAGTACTAGTTATAGCATTACTTCACATTGGACAACACATTAAGAACAGATCCCACATGAGAAGTAAGTACACAGTGACTCCTGTTGTTGACGTAACAATTTGACACTCTTGTTTATGTTATCAGTAATCTCCCTAGGCTCTAGTCATGAGTTGCCAAGGCTATGGAAGCCTTTTGGGTTCGCAGACTTCGACCTTATTCTGACAGGGTCATAGTCAAAGTGGAAGTTCTCTCCTCCCTTCAGAGAAAGGTACCTCCTTCTTTGATAGCCCCGTTCTTTCCACTGGGATCTCACTCGCAGAGATCTTTCATTTAGGACTTTTTTTTTCCCCCAGAGTGTCTTGGCTTTCCATGCCTGAAATACTCTCATGGGCTCTTCAGCCAGATCCAAATGCCTTAAGGGCTGATTCTGAGGCCAGAGTGCTGTTTAGGACATCTGCCATGCTATGAATCTGCTGTGTATCCTGCTTCCCATGTTGGATCGTTCTCTCCCTTTTTAATTCTATCAGTTAGTATTAGCAGACACTAGTTTTGTTTGTGTGATCCCTTTGACTCTTAGACCTATCAGTGTGATCAATTGTGAACTGAAGTTGATCACTTGGACTAGTGAGATGGCATTGGTACATGCCACCTTGATGGGACTGTATTGGAATCCCCTGGCATGTTTCTAACTCCACCATTTGGGGCAAGTCCGATTGAGCATGTCCCAAATTGTACATCTCCTCCCTCTCTTATTCCCACTCTTATATTTAACAGGGATCACTTTTCAGTTAAAATTTAAACACCTAAGAATAATTATGTGTTAATTACAGAGTTCAACCAATAGTACTAGAACAAAAAAATACTAAAAGGGATAAAGTATTACATTGTACATCAACAGTCAGGACAAGAGCTGATCAAGTCACTGTTTCTCATAGTGTCCATTTCACTTCAACAGGTTTCCCCTTTGGTGTTCAGTTAGTTGTCACCAATCAGGGAGAACATATGATATTTGTCCCTTTGGGACTGGCTTAGTTCACTCAGCATGATGTTTTCCAGATTCCTCCATCTTGTTGCAAATGACTGGGTTTCACTGTTTTTGACTGCTATATAGTACTCTATAGAGTACATGTCCCATAATTTCTTTATGCAGTCTACTGTTGATGGGCATTTGGGTTGGTTCCAGGTCTTAGCTATTGTGAATTGAGCTGCAATAAACATTAAAGTGCAGACAGCTTTTTTGTTTGCCAATTTAATTTCCTTTGGGTAAATTCCAAGGAGTGGGATGGCTGGGTTGTATGGTAGGGTTATATTCAGGTTTCTGAGGAATCTCCAGACTGACTTCCATAGTGACTTAACCAGTTTGCATTCCCGCCAACAGTGGGTTAGTGTCCCTTTTTCCCCACATCCTTGCCAGCATCTATTGTTGGTAGATTTCTGAATGTGAGCCATTCTCACCCGGGCGAGGTGAAACCTCATTGTGGTTTTGATTTGCATTTCCCTGATTGCTAGTGATCTTGAACATTTTTTCATGTGTCTGTTGGCCATTTGGATTTCCTCTTTTTGAAAAATGTCTATTGAGGTCCTTGGCCCATCTCTTAAGTGCGTTGTTTGTTTTGATGTTGTGGAGTTTCTAGATTTCTTTGTAGATTCTGGTTATCAACCCTTTATCTGTTGCATATTTTGCAAATATTTTTTCCCATTCTGTCGGTTGCCTCTTCACTTTCCTGACTGTATCTTTTGAAGTACAGAAACTTCTCAATTTGATGCAATCCCAAATGTTAATTTTGGCTTTGACTGCCAGCAGCAGGCGGTTCTAGCGTCGTCACCACGACTCCCTGAGCAGCTCACATGCATGCTCATGGTTAATCTTCAGCATCAATAGTCGTGAGGATGCTGGGAGTCAGGGAGCAGTATCACCCCCTGCTAAGCATGGGGCAGCCGACAGGGGAAGTAACTCGGACAGGGCTGCACAGCTGGTGAGTAGGAGGCAGAACAGGTTTCAAGTCAGGAAGTCAGGCACTGGAGTTGAAGCTCTTAGCAACCAGGCTAACTGCCCGCCATCACCACAGATGGATGTGCTGACTTGGTGCCTTTGAATGAACACACCCCCACAGGAGGACCTCCTCCAACCTTGTGTTCCTGGGGATCTCCCAGGGCAGCTGACAGTTCACAGGGGCAACTTCTGTAGCTATTACAAAAGGCTATGCTCTGGCTCTCAACCTCTGGACTCAAAGACAGTTCACCAAAAAGCCTGGTGACCCCACAAGGATCACACAAGGAGGGGGCAGGGCGGACACCAAGAGGAGCAGCCCCTGCTCTCCCGGGTGGCCCTGGCACACGCAAGACTTAGCACTTTCCCTCCTGCACACTCTCCTTAACGCACACAGGCAGTCCTAGGAAGAGGGAGGGTGCCTTTTCCAGAAATGGAGCCCCACACCCTCTGCCCCGTGTCCACGGAGTGGGCTGGACACGGGCCTTGGAGAACAGGCAGAGTCCAGGCCCTGCCAAGGACGTCTCTGAGAATCACATCTCCACAACTGTCTGTCCTGAAAAGACCGTCCATGCTGTGCAAGGTCCTGGCTGCGACATGCTGTCTCTCACTGCTGGTGGACAGAGCACCGGGGCAGGACAGGAGAAGGGCACAGTCTGTCCCATGACAGGGACGTCCTGTGCAGGAACGAAGGGGCTGCTCAGGATGGAAGGTGCCCGAGATACCCAGCAGGCTCTTGGCTGACAGGCGCTGAGTCTGCCCTAACAGAGAAGCCAGCTCTGGGCCAGGCACACTTGCCTCCTGGAAGGCCCCAGAGCATCCAGAGGTGGGCTCCCTGCTGGGGATCGGAGAGCCAGGATATGCGGCAGCACAGGGAGGTATGCCCTGTGCACACACACACACACCCTCACACACAGACACGCACACACACACTCACACAGACACGCAAATACATACACAGACGTGCACACACATGCACGCAGACATGCACACACACACTAACACGCAGACATGCAGACACACAAGCTCACATACACACACACTCACACATAGACACACAGACATGCAAACATACACACCCTCACACACAGACATGCAAATACACACACAGACGTGCACACACACCAACATGCACACACACTAACATACAGACACACAGAGGCACACACACATACGCACACACACACACACACTCACACACAGACACACAGACATATACACACATGCACACACACAAACACCAACGCACACTCAACTTCACCTAGGACAGCTGCTTTTGTTTCTCTCTAGGATCTGACAAAGAATTCTGCAGCTTTAAGAAAGACGAAAGGGCGATCACTATGGTACTTGAGTGAAGCTGAGAGTGCCTGAGATTGAATCCCACCTCCACTTCCATTCCAGCTTCCTGCTCATGTGCCTGGGAAGAGAGCAGATGATAGCTCCAGCGCTTGAGTTCCTGATGCCCATGTGGGAGACCTGGATGGAGTTCTTGGCTCCCGACTTCAGCCTGGCCCAGCCTTGGCAGTTTTGGGCATTTAGGGAGCAAATCAGCAGATAGAAGATGTCTCCCTCTGTCTCTCCCTCTCTCTGTCACTCTGCCTTTTAAAGAAATAATTAAATCTTAAAATAACTAATAAGCACTATTTATGGTCCTTGCCTGGGTTCCTGCTGAGCTATTGTTTTTCTGCTTTTTCATTTGTTCAACTCTTTATTTAGTGGAACATTAAGTCTTTGACCATAATGTAAAATGAAAACATATTATCTTAAAAATAAAAGAAATTTTAAAAACCAAAACACAAAACAAGAGAAGGCACTGAAAACCATTCGTCTAAACTTTT